GAGATCAGTGTTTGCTTTAGTTGGGCTCTTGAACCTTGACTTTTTAACATTAACTTTACTTTGGCTGTTACAGCAATGTGTTTTTGAAGCATGTTCGATACGGCATAAAACACTCAAAGAAAAGAAAGTCTGGTTTCATTGTTTACAGATTGATAATAATAGTCATTCTCTTATTCTAATTACACAGTTTTATCCTGGGTCGATTTTTTTCTGAATATTGATATTAGAGCAAAAGAACAAGCACTGAGCAATCAATTATGAAAGACCATTAAAACACAACACAAAAAAAAAAAAAGCCTTGTTGTAATTTAGACAGACACATCAAGAATCAGCATATGAATCACATCAACGGTGGCAATCAACTAAATAAATAGATCAACTCTGAACATCACAAAACATGCTACTAAAACAACACAAAAACTTAGAGCAAAAGAACAAGCACTGAGCAATCAATTATGAAAGACCATTAAAACACAACACAAAAAAAAAAAAAGCCTTGTTGTAATTTAGACAGACACATCAAGAATCAGCATATGAATCACATCAACGGTGACAATCAACTAAATAAATAGATCAACTCTGAACATCACAAAACATGCTACTAAAACAACACAAAAACAAAAATAAAAGCACATAAGAATTCAAGAAAATAAGTGGACAATTCAGCTGCATAATTTCTTCATGCCGCAATGCATGCTGGGAGTAAAGGGTGAGTTTTGTGCTGTGCTGGTGCCCAGCATGCATTGCAGCATGAAGCTTTTTTTTATCACCATTTTTGAGATTCATATGCTGATACTTGTCTCTCTTTGAGTGTTACTGACGTGGTAGTTAAATTTTTTTTAAACTCAAACTGTTATTAAGTCCTTTTTTTCTTGTCAATCTCATGCTGTAAATCACTTGGAAAATCCTAAAAATTAAAACACTCATGGAATTATTTTCTGAATGAGCCCAGCAATACTCTAGCAGTTTAACACTATTAGAAACAGTTGACATCACCTGACCAACCATGTCAGTTTTGTTATAACAAACGCATTTTAAAGACACAGTTACAGCAATTAAACAAAAACTAACCATCAAAAGTCAAGGGTCAAGAGCCCAAATAAAGCAAACACTGATCTCCACAGTGGTAACGTCAAACAAAAATAAAACATCACCATCTAAACCTCTGTTCATTCTCAATAAGAACTTAGATGTCTGACAGAAATAAAGTCAGTCTGGTTAGTAATGCATGAAGCTGGTAAAGCTGTTTGTTGAGTTGTTTAAATCTTCAGTTGATTTCATCTAAGGCTGTGGCTGAAGTCAGTTGTAGTTCTTGTGTTTGTCTTGTTTCTCTTTTCTTCAGTGATTCTGCTCGTAAACAGCAGCTGTTCATCACTGTCTGAATTCACTCATTAGTGTTCATTCTCTCTGTCAGGTGGACTGTATTAGTAAACTCATGTAGGGAATAGTGAATGAGGGTGTAGGGTGTGATTTGAAACACAGCCTCTGAGTGTCGACTCTGAACGTTGTTAATTCACGATATATAGCAGCAGGCTGCTTTCTCGAAAAATGACAAATATTAACCAGAATGCACTGCTTTAATGGAAAACAGCATGTTGCTGTCAAAATTTGGCCGTTTTATTACAGCGATTTTTAACAGTATAGGAAGGCAAGGAATAAATCAATACAAGTTGCTCTGCTATAGCAGATTTCTACAGCACGGGAGCACATTGTTTTTAAAGTGCAGAACGTTGGTTGGTCAAATGCTCTGGTTTAAGGCTGAAGGTGTGTATGACATGCTGCTGCATTCGGGATTTTCTGGCAAGGTTTCGCAGTGCTAGAAGGGTGTTGTAGTCGTCTTTAATTAAACGCATGTGTGTTTTTCAGTTGCACGCTGTACAAAGTTCTACCACCCTGAAAGGAAAGATGGTGCGATATACAGACTGTGTAAAGGAGACCTGTGCCTGTGTGCAGAAGGTATTACAATTACACTCATTCGCCAGACATTTTTATCCAAAGCCGTTCGCAACTTGTCATAAGAGCCCAATAATCTTCATTTAAATAGTTTAAATGATGTTCTACTTCATTTTATTAATTTTTTTTTTTTTTTTACTTTTTATGAATGGAGGAAAATATTTTGTTGGTTTGTTATGAATGTGTGTATACATATATATATATTTAAAAATCAACATCTCATAACAGAAAACTGCAGTTACCAGAGGAAGTATCGGGTCAGAGATGAGGAGCGTTTGAATAAAGCCTGTGAAGCTGGCATGGATTATGGTAAACACACGTTCTCCTTCCTCAGCCATTGAGATCCAGTCTCACAGCTCTGATATAACACCAATATAACACGACTGTTTGACAGTTTATAAAGTCACAGTGGTGGGAATGGATCTGAAACAGGACTCTGACATCTATGACATGAAGTTGGAGCTGGTGCTGAAAGAAGGTACAGTTTATTATTAATTTGTGTCCATCTTAAGTATACAGCGGGCACTTATTATTTTTACTATTATTTTATTTTGTGGAATATATATGTAAACGTCTTTTATGTGAAATATCTTATTCAGGTCAGTACTAAATAAAAAATATCATGCATTTTGTATGATCCCTCGTATTTTGGTAAAATAATTAACATTTTGCAGGTTCTGCAAGGTGTATGTAAACTTTTGACCTCAACTGTACATACATCTGCACTTTCTTGCTTATGATGAGAGAATTTACGTGAGAGCAGAATTCAGTTGTTTCAGCGATGACTCATCTGAACGCCTCTGATTGGCCAATGCATTCATAAGCTCAACAGAATCGTATGTGATTGGTTATAATATGCAGC